ATTTCGCTCTTTGGTCGCGTGGGAAGGGCGATTTTGCGCCGGCGCCCCACGACATCCGTAGATTTTGTCTAATCAAAAACAAAAATATAATGAATACTGAATAATTTAAGCAACGTTCAAAATGGTGACTTGGTGGCTTTCAAACACGATCATGACATCAACATCCCAAAGTGTTGTCCTTCGCACTCCCTGGTTTGTGAGCGGTTGCACGATTGTGGTTCGAAGGTAGGAGTAGTTTGAGTGAGGGTCATCATCATATAAAAAAGCCTAACACCGAAATTGAGTTAATCACAGGTGCGCTGTGGATAGAAATTGACGTTTGGAAGATCCTAATCGGAAGTGATGAAGAAGGAAGCTCAAAAATGGGTTCTGCAAAAAATGGAGTAATAGCAACTGAAGGCAGCGTGTTAATAGGTCGACTAATTGCTCAATCAATATAATGTGGGTGCTGCTTCGCCAAACAAACATGTTTCGCGCCTTTCATTTTACATTTTGTTGCAATAAATGTAAATGAGTTATTAATTATGGGTCGACCTAGATTTTTGAAGGGTTCCAAATTGTTGCCTACCGTGCTTCAGGATCCAGTGATCTTTCTGATCATTTATCCAGGAACTCCGCTTTGATTTTCTTACGGCTTTGGTTCAACCTGACTTTACAGGTCTCATAAAGAAACTATGAACAACGAAGAAGTCGATGAGCTCTCAGTCAGCTCAATGCTTGCCGCGCAATTGCCTTCCGACATGAGCAGGTTTTGCCAAAAATTGGAAGATGACATGTTTTCCTTTACAAACTAATAAGAAGCAAAAGACAAATACTCGAGGAGGAATAGTACACATGTCGACTCATACAATATTCAAAACGTAGAGAAATTTCATACGCAAGTAATTTTTTGCCAGCTTTACTGTGGGGTAGGGGTGTTGTCACACGGTCCAAAATCACAATAGAAACTATTTTGAGATTATGGTAGATATCGTGTCAAATGATCCAAAGTGAACCAAAGGGAGGAATGCTTATCAACATGCCAAAAACCCCTTATGTGAGACAAGCATTCCAACCACTCATAATGCGATGCTTTTGAGGGTTTCTGACACTATGATTACCGTTGGCTGATCTAGGCTTCCGAAGGACGGTCTTTTATCTCGTAGGGATTGGATGATGGTTCAGCTGACGTCAAGGCTAAAGTAGGTAGGTGGGATATTTGGTCGCGTATTCCGAATCGATATTTCTTATAGGCTCCAAAGAAGGTTATATTGCCGGAATGTTAGCCAGTAAGTTTTTAATAGCAACCTCGTAAGGAGTTCAAACAAGAATTATTGAACTATTTTCAATAATAAAGAAGCAATCGGAGATTAACGCACTACCACCTACAGTGGTCATGATACCCAAAACGCGTTGCAAGTTTTCGGCACGGGTCAAGCGTTCTCTGAGGATCCCTCGACAAGTCGACAGGGAGATGTCGTTGCAACCTGCAACACAAACACCAGCTTTTTGTTCGTTCCGGATCCTCAAAAAGCCAGGTGACCAAGAATTGTACCCCAGGCAAAGGTACCAATCAGCAACGGCCAGAAGATCTTCGTAGGGCGTGACATAAATTGTGTCATGCAAAAGAGGTGTCCAATTGCGAACGCGATCGCGCCGGTGACGATTCCCTCGTCACTCAAGCCAATCAGGACGTCACCGATTCCACCAAAGAATAGCGCCATCGCGCACATGAAGCGGTTCCTCTTCGATAGTCCTCCACCATGAACAGCTGCGAATATTGTGAGGAACACTTTTGGTATCACCTTCCATACTATAACCTATTGTAGAACTTCTGAAAACCATGAGATTCATTGTAGAAATTTGCCACCAACAAAAAATACACTGCGCCAACAGCTGCCAATACCGATTGCATTATTTCTCAGTCTGTCAGTCTCAGTCAGTCAGTCGTAACAGGTAGGCGTCACTACACGCGAGTGAACTTTCCTGCTACACACTCTCAGATAAGCACTTGTTCCCGTTTGCTCAACGATTGACTCGAGGTGGAAGCATCTGCTTTCCCGAGTAACAACATGTAGACTGGGGTGAACATCAAGTAATTCAATCATTTGCTCAAAACCATTTATCAGCTGGTCACTATTGAGCGATGGCGAAAGAATCATCTTATGAATAATAGTGACGGTCAACATAGGTGACCCGGAACAGTGAATTACAACCCTTCGATCAGGCACTGTTAATATTTACCGCTTTTCGCAAGGTTTTTATATCAAGTCCACATCGACCTTCGGAACAATCAGCAGAACGTCGTTCTTCTTCTGTTTCACAATGGAGCGTATATCGTAGAAACGCTCCACGCCAGTGAGAATTTCTACAGGAATTGTTGTTTCTCAGCCATCGTGTGAAGGAGCATTGTCATCATCTCGCCAAATGACAGTAACCGATGATATCAGCTGAGATGGCGCAAGCTGTCGTAGATCCTGCTGGGTATAGACAGCATTCACCGAGTCGGACCAAACCACCATTAATAATTGAGGTGCCGGTTCAAGATGAGGTAATGAGATTGGCCTTTCTGGCATCATGTTACATTGCTCGTAAGAACGTGCTTTGATCGGGAGCATTCTAGATTCCAAAACGCGCATGGTCGTATTGACAACACCTTCCAAGGACGAGAACTCCACGAAGATCTTCCTGATTTGAGCACGCATTCTCTCCAATTTGGTGGGGCTCAACGAATTTATGACGCCAATAACACGAGCCAGACTCGAAGGACGTAATGAGATCAAGTGCCAATCGATATAATCGGAAAACGAAGCACATGATTCGGCACGAATATCACAGGAATAGCAGTTGCCTGCAAAGCCCTGTACAATGCAAGCTTTGAAATGTGGCATTCGCTCGTGGATGAGGACGAACATGGATTCCCCAACCATTTTTTTTCCCATTGAACAACTCTTCCTGCGCTATCGCATACCTCAGATGGCCGATCAATACATTCAA